TATATTGGATTACTCTGTTGGTACGCATGCAGCTCGCTTAGGGCGGTACACAAGACCCATGCCATGAACCTCTCGACGTTTTTGTTATGCAGTACTTTGGTGGGTCGTATGTCAAGAGAATAGTTCCTGCTCTTTATGGACGCCACAACTTCTCGTCATGAAACCTAGCCCTATGCGGGGTAGGGATCAACGAAAAATATTGATGGCTATACTGTACCTCGATTTTTTTCGTAAATTGTCATCGGATTCATCGAGATACTGCCAAGCCCGAGCACGAGCCAGAGCCAAGGCAGCCCTGGCACCCACGGCAGTGTCTTTTTTAGAATGGGGTGGCCACCATCCAGTGACACCACATCATCCCTCGATTAGAATCACTTCCGAACTAAGCTTGGCGCCAGCCTTGCACTTTTTTAGAAGGTTGGCGAGTCCCTTCCACGGTTCATCGAGTGGACAACGTTAATCAGGTACTAGTACTAGCCTATATAGTGTCATAGCGCTGCAACAGCGGCGACGGGTTAAAACAGAATGATGTTGGTGTGCTGGCAAGCGCTTGTCATGTTCCTTCCAAAACAGATATGCATGCAATACATGTATTTTGGTAACGTCACGCCGCGCTGCGCCACCGAGACGGGCGTCCCCACCACTATTATCTACCCCTGGCTCGAGGTCGCCCTCGTTTCGGTGGGCCAAGAGAAACCGGACCACGTCTTCGCGGCCGCGGTACGTTGCGCCCTCGAGTGCTTTGTCTGTGCAGCCTTCATGGCGGTGGCGGTGCAGATAGGCCACGACGTCGAGGTGCCCACCTTCGGCCGCGCCGTCCATCGCGAGCGTCGTGCAGCCTTCGGAGCGCGACTCGTGCAGGAAGGCGACGACGCGCAAGTGGCCGCCTATGGCTGCGTAGTCCATGGCAAAGCGCGTACACCCTTCCGTGCGCTGCGCGTGCAGGTACAAGACGACGTCGAGATGGCCGTTGCACACGGCAAAATCCATTGCGTCGACTGTCGCACCGTCGTCGCGCTGTGTGTTCGAGAAGCGGACAACGTCCAAGTGGCCGTTGCGCGCGGCAAAGTTGAGCGCAGCCATGGAGCAGTCTTCCGACCGGTGCGAGTGCAGGAAGCGCACGACGTCCAAGTGACCGTTCTCGGCCGCGTAGTCCTTGCCTTTGCTCGTGCAGCCCTCGTCTCGGTGCTCGTGGAGGAAGCGCAGCACGTCGAGGTGGCCGTAGCACGCCGCCGAGTTCATGGCCTGGACCGTCGCCGGGTATCCGAGTTCGTGGACGAAGCGCACGAAGCGGTGGCGGCCAAAGCGCGCTGCGCAGTCGAGCGTCTGGGCCGAGACATAAGACCGGCCGCAGCACGCGAGCCAGCGCAGAATGAGATCCAAATTTCTTCGTAGATGGCAATGTGCAGCAGGAAGCGCTTGTCGGCGCCGAGCCAGTTGAGCATGAGATCGAGGCCGCCCGAGACGCGGTCGCCGCTCGGCAAGAGGTAGTCGCCATGGCTGCGCTTCATACTCTTCCACTGCAGCACGCGCGGGCGAAGATCGCCAAAGTACCCGTCTTGGTACGACACGATCGCATCCAAGAGCACGTCGTTGAGGAGCACGGCGCGGTGCGGAAAGGCGTTTTTTCTGGCTGCCGTCCGTTTGCTTGCGCTCCGTGGCGTTCGTTTATCCTATCGGCTATTGTTAAATATAAAAAGTATGAAAAAGTTGTATTGGCTAATCAAACACAGCTACATTTGCTAAAAACACCCAACACGGTATACTGAAACCTAGATGAAAAGAAATGAAACGTCGTTTTTGATCCGCGCGCTGGAATGGGACGCTCGCCGATCGGGTCTGCTGCAAGGCCGGGCTTTGGATGTACTTTGCATCGGTTTTTCCTCGGTCGCTTCCGGCAGCGCGATCCGCTCGGCGCTCATGGATCCGGTGAAGGAGGACGCGGACAAGCTGGCGAAGAAGGTCTCGCGCTTCATGACGAAGAACCCGCGGGCGGCGATGGCCGACGTGGCGCGCCACGTGCTGGAAAACGAGACTCTCACCGAGGAAGAGCGCGACGCCTGGGTGGACCTACGAGTCAAGGGTCATGACGAGCTCGTTCAAGCGGGTATCGTCTGCGACCAGCTGGGTCTCGTCCATGCCCTGGAACACTCGCAGCGGGTCTACTGCCGCCGCCGTCGACGCTTCCAGTCGAGGGGGCGACAGTCGCCGACTATGTGTACGCGTGGCGTCTCGAGAAGGACTGCGCGGCGTTGATCGAACGGCTCACTGCTCGCGTGGGTCCGACGCGCGTTCTGGAGCAGTTTGGGACGCTCGTGGCGTTTGAAGTCGACCGCCAGTCGGCCTCGAATGTGACGCTCGCCGACTTGTTTGAGCTGCTCGAAGGCGCCAAGCACGAGCTTCGCATTGAGCGCTATAGCATCAGCGAACTGGCGCTGGATCAAGTGTTTCACCACTTGACCGACCCCTCAACATAGTTCGTTTTTGGATAATCGACAATTATGACCAGCATAAGACTGTGTCGCAGATGGTTTTGTTGTATTTTGTCTGCGAAAACAGTACATCTCGTCGGACGACCCTATGCATATCGATATTTGGTGTTTCGGTTTATCTAGGGAAATATATCGATTTAACTTGGTGCAATGCAGGATGAATTCGTGCGCCTCTGGTGTTTCGAGCGGCTTCAAGGACACTGCAAAGAGAAAGAGCTGGTCATCGAGGCACCGAGATGAATGACGACGACCCTTTGGTCTAGGCCAATGACGGTTATGCTATCGGTTTGCCGTATGTAGATCTGTTCAAATAGAAATTCAAATCGTATTCGAGTCGATACGTTGCTTTAGCATGTCGAGTGCCAAGTCGTGCGCGATGCTCAGCCCGGCGCAGAATTGAGGCACAGGATGACTTTGGGGCTAGGGTTAGCTCGATCGTAGTCTAGTAATGGGCACACACGGTTGCTCTGCAGCACATGTTGTGTAGGGGCGATTACGTAGTTGCTAGCGATTGACAATACACTGGTCCACGCACGCTGGACCACTGACCGTGCCGTGGTCTTGAGCGCGTCATACGAGTAACACTGATAGTGCAATCCGGTTGGCTCAACAAGTTGTGCGCATGATGGTCATTTGCAATGACATGCATTTGGCTTGCCTGCCATTGGCCAAGCGGTTGATCCTCTGCGCGCCATCCGAGCACTCATCGTGCATTGATGACTCGAGCAGCCCACGAGTCGATCGATCAAACAAACATGGTCACTTTGGTCTCCAACGCAACAGCATCCAGGCCCCGATACAAAGGCATTCACGAGGCTACCCAGAGACTATGCACTCTCTGCAGAAGGCAACTTGTCGTTCGACTGCGATACAACACCAAACACCATTACGTGTGGCTTCTAACGGAAGCATTGGTTTGTCGCGGCAGAAACGACCGACATTGTGTCGAGGAGCGTTGGTCCCAACCGCGCGATTCCACTGGAATATCAGCTTCGTAGTCATTCCTAATGCCGTGTGAGGTGCGGCGGTAGTCAGATGCACCCAAACAGCCAGTAGAAAGGACCGCACACAAACACCTAGTTGGTATAGTATGTACCGCCGAACATGACGTCGACTAACCCGCGGTGGCTTTTACGTCGGTCGCGTTTTCTTGATGGAATACAGAGCCTCTTCACACCACTCCGAAACCAAGTCTCCTTGACGCATTTCGAAAATGACATCGTACCATCCAGTGCAAACACCAACGAACGACGTGAGCAAAGGCGACCGCGGGGTCAACCCACGCGAGACGGCGCGCTGGCCCTCGATCCTTACCATTGGCTGGATTAGCCGCCTCATTCAGCGTGGCGCGATCGCGCCGCTGACCGAGGACGACACGTGGCCGCTGCCGGCGCACGACACGGCTGCCGCCCTCCACGATCGCTTCGAGCCGCATTGGGCGTTCGAGAAGATCCGTGCCGTGCCGCGCCTCCATTACGCGCTGTGGCTGACATTTCGCGGTCAGATCCTTCGAGACCTCTTTCTCTACTTTGTGTACGCCGGCATGATGCTGCTGCAGCCGATTTTGATCCAGTCGATCTTGCAGTGCATCGAGCAAGACCCGGTCGTCCACACGTCCATGCACATCACCAACGGCTACGTGTTGGCAGCGCTTCTCACGGCGCTCTCGTTCGTCTCGATTACGCTCATTGATTACGCGCAGTACTCCAACTCGCACACGGGCTGCAACGCCAAGTCGATTGTCCTCGACTTGGTCTTTCGCAAGACGCTAATGCTCTCGGGCGCGGCCGCAGTCGGTCTCTCGACCGGCGACATTGTGACGTTGGCGTCCGTCGACGCCGACCGGATCTTTATGGGCTTTAGCTTTGGCTACTGGGCGCTCGTTGGGCCGCTCATGCTGCTGGCGGTCTACATTCTGATTGGGTACCAGCTTGGCGCCGTTGTCGGCGTCATTGGCGGCGTCACGATGTTTCTCGCCCTGTACGTTGGCTACGTCTCGGGGCGCAAGGTCGGCGACATTCGACGCGACCTTCTCAAGGTCCAAGCCAGCCGCGTCAAGCTCACGAACGAGGTGCTCCAAGGCATCCGCGTCGTCAAACTCTACGCGTGGGAGGCGAGTCTAGAAGCGCAGCTCGCGACGATCCGCGACCACGAGATTGCGCTCCTCAAGAAGTACCACACCCGCCGGACGTTTAACACCGTCTTGCTCTACATAGCGCCCGTGATCTCGCTCGCGATCTGCCTCCTCGTGTATGTTGCACTCGGCCACACGCTCACGGCGCCGATTGCGTTCACGGCACTGGCCTATGTCAACGTCGCCCGCTTCCCGTGCACTGTCTTTTCGACGTCGATCATGATGACTGCCGAGATGCTCGCGTCGTGCGAGCGCATTGGCACCTACTTGGCGTCGACAAATGTGGTCGCCGCGATTGGTATGTCATACTGTGTTGCTCGTGGACGTGTAACGGTTTCTCATACTTCATTTTCTAAAAATAGAAGACGCGCCGGTCTACAATGGGCCGACGACGGTCGCGATGACCGACGCTGCGTTCAGCTGGGCCACGTCAACCCCTGACATAGAGGCATCGTCGCTCACGCTTCGAGACCTCACATTCACGCTGACGCCGGGTAGCCTCACGATCGTTGTCGGGCCCGTCGGCAGCGGCAAGTCGAGTCTTGTGAGCGCGATCCTGGGCGAAATTCCCCACGTCCACGGCCATCGCAATGTCGCGGGTCGTCTCTCGTACGTCAGCCAAGAGCCGTGGATCCAGCACGCGACGATCAAGAACAACATCCTCTTCCATGCTGACGACGACGACGATGACTACTACCACCGGGTGCTTGCGGCGTGCCAGCTCGGACCAGACCTCGCCATGTTGCCCTTGGGCGACGCGACCGAAATTGGCGAGCGCGGCATCAACTTGAGTGGCGGCCAGAAGGCGCGTGTCAGCTTGGCCCGCAGCGTGTACCATCAATCGGCCGACATCTATCTCCTCGATGACCCGCTGAGCGCCCTCGACGTGCATGTTGCAACGGCGGTCTTTCACGAGTGCATTCGCGGCCTCCTCGGTGGCAAGACGACGATTCTGGTCCTCAACAGTCACTACCATTTTCTCCCGCTCGCGGACCGCGTGTTGCTCATGGACAACGGGTCGATCGTCGGTGACGGCTGCTTCGAGTCGCTCAAGACGGACTTTCCACATTTGATGAACTTTACCGAGTCCAATGCCACACAGGACGACAATGACGACAGCGCGTCCCCATCGCTCGACAAGCCCACGCCACCCAAGGAGACGGGTGCTAGCGTCCAAAAGGCTGGCGGTGGCCTTATGGACAAGGAAGACCGCGCCACCGGGGCTGTCTCGGCTGCAACCTACAAGACCTACTTTGGCTCGAGCGGCTACAACGGGTGCGTACTTCTTGGTCATTGTTCTTTAGATCTCATGCTGGAATGACGCTTAGGCTGGTGGTGGCGGCGTCGATTTGCGTCTTTTTGACCCTCTCGCAGACTGCGCTCGCAATGACGGACTGGTTCATGAGCTACTGGTCCAACCATGCAACCATGATGGCCAAGGTCTCGTCCGGGTACATTTACCTCGGGTGCGCGGTCGTCTCGGTCGTGCTCGTGTATGGCCGATCGCTGTACATCCTCATGGTCGCCATCAAGTGCTCCCAGTCGCTGCATGCACTGCTGCTGCGCAAGGTCCTCGCCGCACCCGTCCCAACGTTCTTTGACGTGACGCCCATTGGTCGCATCCTCAACCGGTTCTCGAGCGATTTGGACCAAACCGACTCGCAGCTGCCGTACTTTGGGCTGCTTTTGCTGCAGTTTGTATTTCAAATCGTGGCCGTCCTCATCGTGTGCGTCGTCTCGACGCCGTACATTCTTATCGTGTACGTACCGCTCGCCTACCTCTTTTTCAAGGTCCAGCAGTACTACAACAAGTCGTCGACCGAGCTCAAGCGGCTCGAGAGCACGAGCCGGTCGCCCGTTGTCACGTCGGTCGCCGAGACACTCAGCGGTCTCTCGACGATCCGCGCCTTCAACAAAACACGCATTATCCTCGCCAAGCAGCGCGCGTCCGTCGACCACTACATGAGCTTCTCGTTCCTCTTTACGTGTGCCGGCCGGTGGTTCCAGATGCGCCTCGACTGGCTCAGCGCCGCCATCATCGCCGGCGTCGCCTTCATTTGCATTCTGACCAAAGCCTCGATTGGGATTGCCGCAGCGGGCTTGACGCTCACGTATGCGTCGCAGCTCTCGGTGTTTCTCTCCAACACGGCCAAGATGCTCAACATGGTCGAGAATCTCATGACGTCGGTCGAGCGACTCAGTCACTACAAGTCACTCGAGAACGAAGACGAGTCGACGATCGGTCGCGTCACTGTCGACGCAGCATGGCCCTCGGCTGGCGTCATCACCTTTTGCAACTACTCGATGCGGTACCGCGAACACCTCGACCTCGTCCTCAACCAAGTGTCGTTCACGGTGCCATCGGGCGCCAAAGTTGGCATCTGCGGCCGCACCGGCTCGGGCAAGAGCTCGCTCATGGCCGCGCTCTTCCGCATGGTGCCAAGAGCGTCCGGTTCGATTGCCATCGATGACGTCGACATTGCGACCGTGTCGGTGACAACGCTCCGGTCGCGGCTCACGATCATCCCGCAAGACCCAGTGCTTTTCTCTGGCTCGTTGCGTTTCAACTTGGACCCGTCGGGTACTGCGGGCGATGACGAGCTCTGGCGAGTCCTCAAGCAAGTGCACTTGGCCGAAGGCGTTGCCTCGCTCGACGACGAGGTCGCGGAGCGCGGAAGCAACTTTTCGGTCGGTCAGCGCCAACTGCTCTGCATTGCGCGCGCCCTCTTGCGCAGAAGCCAGGTGGTGGTCCTGGACGAAGCCACCGCCAGCATTGACCTCGAGTCCGACAAGCGCATCCAAGCGACGATCACGGAGTGTTTTGTGGGCATCACGATGCTCATCATTGCGCATCGGCTCGACACGATCATCGACTCGGACCGGATTCTCGTGCTCGACGCTGGCCGCGTCGTCGAGTACGACACGCCCAACGTGCTGCTCGCAAAGGCCGACGGTGAATTCGCGACCCTCGCTGCGCAGGCGCAGTTGCAGCGTCCCTTGTAACTAAAGCTTGTATCAAGGTGTCAAGTGGACGAGACTCTTTTGACAGTTTCGGCGATTGCTAGGTACGAATGCAACACAACTTGCCGCTTAAACGTGAAAATAGTTGGTTGTGGGCGTAGCCAGAACAAACTAAATTGTCTAGAACGTGCACGTAGGTGTGACGATACGACCTAGTAACCATTGTGTTTTTATTTAGATTGAGATTGAGTAGTCATTGAGAGATACCCCGGAGCAAACCCGGTTTGCGATCCAATACCCGGGAAAAACCCGGTATCGGGTTAACGTACAACGCTAAAATAGACCGTGGTACTCTCATTTGTGGACGTGGACGAGCTGAAGAACCGGTGGCATGGGCAGGTCTTTCTGGTCGACGAAGAAAAGGCGAGCGGAAGAGATGGAGATCGACCTTGAATACGAGCGCACTTGCGTCGCGGCCGCGATCTCGTTTCGAAGATTTCTAGCCACAGAGCATACAGTATACTGTAGTGCACGACAGCAAGCTACCCGTGAAACGCCCTCGCGTGCCCCGCAAGCAGCCGGCACCGGTTCCGGTACCACACTTGCAGCTGTCCAGGAAGACAATGTGTCACCACCATCTGGCTCACCTGCATGTGCGGATGCTTCTTTTACGTATGGTGCACCAACGACGGAGACCAGTGACGATAAGACCAAGTCCGTTGACGATACGTACGACACCGACGACGACGAGTTTGGGCTCTCGCATGAGTCGGAAGACTATCGCTGTGCCGTCCCACTCAGTGGCTTTGCAGATGCCGTGCGAAAGGCGGAACGGCGAGTGCCCTCGGACACACGGTCGCTGACCTCGCCGAGCAACTGCCACGACTTTTTCCAGTGCTGCAGCCACCCCGTCGCTGGATCCGGCTGCTCGCAAGCGCTATCGTTGGATGCTTCCCGCTCATCGCACCCGCCGCGCGCCCAGACCCCGCCCCGACCTGGCTCGTCAAGCTCGGACCTCACGTAGCCTCAGCTGCGCCTTCTTCCCGGGCGGAAGTGCGTGCCACGCAGCCTTGGTAGCGGCGGCGCGAGCAGAGAAGTCCCCAAACTCGGCTACGTGGTAAAATAAAATGTCAGATAGTCGAATCATCAGTGGACTTACGAGGCACCTTTGCGTACTGCAGAGAACTGTTCGTTATAGCAGTGCGGACACGTTGTCGACGTCCGCGGTGGTCACCGCGGGTGCTTCGAATTGACGAAGTTCCAGCACAGTGGCGGCAATGGCACCGGTACTGGCACCTGAGCTACCGCAGCTTTGCGCGACTTTGCATGGTGGGAGGCAAACCACGCACACACCTTGGGCACCTCAACTTTGAGCTTGACCGCAATGCCTGCCAGTTCACGGTTGTGCTCCTTGTTACCGGTGACGCCGTACTTGGCTACCAAGTCCGCAAGGACCGCTTTCGCCAACTGGCATACAATCAAATGACGACTTTCGTAGGATGTGGGTCGAATAGAGCCCATGCATTATTGGCTATAATTCATTCTAGGAGCACAGGCATTGA